CGTTTTTTGCAAGGAAATTCCTAGCAATCACAAATGATACACTGCACTTTACTTCATGTGTTGTGTAAAGTCTTACAAAGCAAAATAGTCTTTAAATCTTCTAGGAAGTCGTGTTTTATATGATTCAAAGTGCTACTGCTCGAGCGGTTTCATCACCTAAACCCGGCAAGGTTTAACTACTTCCAAGACCCGCTCCACAGAGGGAACGCGAGTTAATGGTCTCTGTATCAAATCTTTGACACTGCACATCTTTCTAGAATGGCCGGGTTAACCGATCCTTCCCTTGTAACGGGAGACCCCGTATCAAAGCCTAAATTACCTACTTGCCATCTCCGAAATAATATCTTCTTCAGTAGTGCTTCTAAAATGGTATATTAAATACCAGTTGGGTTTCACGCGAATTAATGGTATTAATTGAGCAAATATTCATAAACTCATTTACTTGTATTTAAGGAAGCGTTATCATTTAGCCGAAATTCTGTTTCAAAAGCTGCTTTTAAAACTATAAAGGAAGTCCTTTTTCTAACATGTTTTTCAGATGAGAAAGAATCTGTTTCAAATGATTTGCATATAGGGGTAAAATATGCATAGAGTGGTATATGATTAAACAAGAGGAGAAAATATTGTCTAGCAGCTACGCATTGAATTAGTCGTTGAGTATATGTAGTGGAAAGCAGTATCGAATGTTTTCAGTCGTGCACTCTTGTAGACCTTAGAAAAAGGTGAAATAAAGTCAATTAAACTTTACTGAGAGGAGAACTCTGCAGAACGTTGAGCTCACGATTGTAGTAATGAAATCTGAATTCGAAGTCTGAAATTTTCACTAGAATTTGCGGACAACTTCTTACTTTTACAAGCTGTGTCTTGGAGATTGAATGTTAAGAGAGTTAACACATGAGCATAAATTGCAAATTTGTCTACAAAAATAAACACACAATGCCTTTGCAGGATCCTGTCGCCTAATGCACAAGGATGTGCAAGGATGAGGGCAGTGTGCGACTCTGGCTCTGCTACGGATAACTCCTTAATGGAGGTATGCATTCATTTCTGATAACTTCAAGTATCAAACGGAGATACCTAGCAAAGAAGTGAACATGCTTCGAATATAAAAAGATATTAGTAGGGAACGGGATAGACTCGCTTTCTTTTCACATTGCAGCTGTTTATGCCAAGTTTAGAGGAGGCGTAGACTCAGACTCACTTTCAATGCGAAGGCGATTAAGAATACAGCGAAAAGAGAATACAATCAATAAGTCACGAGGTTGGATGCAGAGTTACAAGCAATTATTACAGTTCCAAGAAGGTATAGCAGGGCCTACAGTGGCTCCTACAGTAATGGCTACACTTGTCTGTCAAGCAGATCAGCAATGGTATTACACCGATGGAACGACGACGAAGTGAGTGAATTATGAATGAACTCAGCTTTACGGCAGAACCGAATAGCGCAATTTTAGGGCAATCACCGATGTTTATTGCTTCACGACAAAGGATTCCGAGCAAAGTACGTGCATTTTCTTCCCCAATTTTTCAAAAGAAGCATGTGTATCAAAGTAGTGCTGCATGAATTGACAAAAACCAATGCATTAGCTTACTTCTGACTATTTTCTTCCCTCAGTTCTTTTGGCTTGTTGTAATCTATGCACACCATTTTCTGTTTTCTAAACGATTAAATCCTTCACACTTCTTTTAGCCTGCGCTACGTGTGATGCAAGTGCTGTTACATTCCACCCGGCCTCTGGTGAATACACCACAGACGCAATAAGCGAGTGAGTTTTCTTCATTTTCTTGAGTCTCAACTTCCTAATTTATGTAGAAGCACAGAACCTATAGTAGTTTGGCTTTAAATGATTCTCAACTGTAACTTCAATGTTGCAACATAGGAAAAAATGTACGAAGGTCTTTCTATGCAAGGTCATCAAATTCTACCTCTACTAGAAATACGCTAGTCCTTGGCGCAAAACTGCCGCACCACGTTTGGAGGAACGGCCAAGCAGTACTAGTTTGCCTGTTGCCTAAAATAATGCTATAATTCTCTTTGAGTGCGAATGTTTCAGTCAAATGCACAATTTATTTTAGTTGTATTCTGTTCAAGGATCAATCTGTTGCCAATACTTCTTTTATTCCCATCGGTCCATTGTAAAAATGCGTGTTGCCGAGATGTTTCATTTGTCTAGGATTTACTAAGGATCTCTAATATCCATGGCATATCAGGTTATAGATCCGTAAATATAAACGGAATGGGGAACTTTTTAATGACAAAAAGGAGTTAAGGTCACTTAACTTTCGTTCCCAATAGCTAAAGTCCGATCAGTTCGAATAAAACGTAAGCTAATGGCGTTGAATTATCATAGTACTCTATTGCTATAAATCTCCCGCGTGTGAATGTGCTTTAAAGCGAATGCCAATTATTTCTTATGCAGGTGGAAGATTAAACAAGCGCTTCAAAACACTAACAACCTAGCGCTAAAACATCGATCAGATTCTACCGTACACACTGTGTGATAGCATACCATAGGTCAGGAGCGATGGGTTGTTTTACATTAGTTAAACGCTAGTGAAAATCAAGTATGAACGCCTTCCGATAGTGACTTGACCAGTTAACCTACACATATAAATACAAAGTCTGATGCGTGTGTGGCCTGTTCCAAATACATACTGCTGCTTCTAAAAATCCGGACCAAACTTCGCACGCATACACTCCGGTGCACCAT